GGAGGCCGCACTCAAGGCTGGCCAGGAGACGGAGGACAATTACAACCAATTAGCAGCTGAATTTGACGACCTCAGCCATGCACTTGAGGAAACAAGGTCTTCATTGCAGGTAGGCGGTTAAACGCAAACAGAAGGCAGTTTTGAGGGTCTAACACTAGTTCTACATCATAATTCGAACCCCACGTACATCAAAATTGCATCAACCACTCAGATCAGCACAAAAGTGTGAGACTTACTAGTAACTGTCCAGAGTAAGACAATGAAGTCGCCAATAGTGAACTGCTATCTGCTAGATTGGCAATCCGACTTGAATTTAAAAAAAAATATTTTGTCTTCACCGATTCCAGTTCGGAATGTTGATTAAAAAGCTACCTTGACCCGCAGTCGGTAGGCCAGAGGACTAATTTACCCCTTTTGGAGCTGGTACATTAATTCTACCGCGCTCAAGCTTAAAAACCGTCACCCCCTGCCATATGGCGTCTTATCGTCGACCATCTGTTGATACTTTAGAGACTTCAACTGTGCCGTCAGCTCACTAAAACAAGACGGACTTTGATTTCTTTGACGAGCTAGCTAATTCCACAACTTATTATGCTTAGCTGGGCAAAAGCTAAACGCTTGATCTGGTTAAATGTCTACTTTTTTCAGAATGGCGTTTGTTCTTTTTTATTCCAGTTGAGTGAGAGCCGTCGGCAGGCGCTTTCAGAGGAGGTGGAAATGATTCGTGTGCAACTCGAGGCCTCCGAGCGAAGCCGTCGAAAGGCCGAATCGGAGACTCAGGAGCTTACAAATCGCGTGTCCGAGCTGACTGCTCAGGTCAACACTTTAATCGCTGACAAGCGCCGCCTTGAAAGCGAGCTCACAATCGCTCAAGGTGATATCGAAGACCTCAATGGCAGCAAGCAGGTAAGACGCAGTTGCCAAACGTGAATTTCGACGAAATAGGGACATTGTAGCTGCTGTTTATAATAAGGCGCAGTTGATTGGCCAGAGCATTTGTCCAACCCCATCTCGAACTCAAATGGCATCAATCCGAAACTGCACGCACCAGGTACATTGGAAAATGCGTCGTCGACGCACCCCCACTGCATGTGGTAGCTATTTTTAGCGTAAATAGGAGCCACGATGACTCATAGCCCCTGAAACCAGTGCCCCTTGCCCGTTCCGTTTTTAGACGACGTCGTGTCCTACGCCTGTTTCGCGTATGTTTATTAGTCTGACATTTTCCTACACGGCCCAAAATGAGGCCCGTTTGCACAACAGGCGAAAATGTGGCAACTATAAACGATCAAAGTCGGTGAAAATAAACCGTCCATGTAAATCGCTCTGCTTCAGGTCGACCTGAATTCCACTCAACGCAAAACGATGACTCAGTGCAAAATCGACGTTTATTGATTTTTTGTGTGAATCAATCCCCATGCCATTGTAGGCGCAATGGTAATTAGTGGCAGACAGGATGTAGTTGATGAATTTGCAACCGACGCTTCGTTGCGTCTTTTAGCAAACACCTGAGGTATCACAAGAAATCAATAACTGTGAAGGTAATCAAGTCTGAGTAATCCAAGGTCTTCTTCTCAACTGAATAGGGCAATGAGGAGCGTATCGCGAAGCTAACACTCGACGTGGCCCGTTTGACAGCTGATTTGCAGGCTGAACAGGATCTCGCACGTCGAGCAGAGGCTGGAAGGCGTCAACTGGAGACGGATCTTCGTGACGCGAATAATCGCTTGAAGGTGGCAGAACAGGCCTCTGAAGACGCCGAAAAAGACGCCATTAGGAAGATCAATGGAATGGAGGCTCGACTTCGCGATGCAGAAATGGCCGCTGAGACAGAAGCCAAACGCGTTAGGGAACTCACGGCCCAGTTACGGTAAGCACATCACTATTGACGTGAAGTTACATTAAAAGCAGTTTCTGATTCCATTGACACTTAGCACTTATTCGGATGCCAAGTCGATACTGTCAAAACTGCCCGAGTTTTCGATCCCAACTTATTTCTTTTGACGATTAAAAACTGTTCAAACAGCAGATAATTTTATTCCTAGGTCGGGTTACTTCATTCTTGGTCGTTTTGTCAAAGCATCAAAATTGGATCATAAATATTAATTACCGTAGCAAAATGTAGTTAAATGTTATTAGAATGCAGTTTTGATTAAAACCCCTTTTAAATTGGCAGAATTTTAATCAAGATAACTAAATGTTGCGTGGGTGAACTGAGATGTAACGCGAGATCACATCAGATCGTAAAGAGACGCGTAGTTACATAAGTGCCAAATTTGCGCTCACAACGGGCGATCCCGTCTCCTTCGAGGTACCTTGTTTGGTGTTTTAGTACATTTGGTTCCATGATCCACCTCATGGAGACAAAATTTACCGATTGATGCAAGATGCGTCTGAGCTCTGTGGTTATACAAGCTCCTGGTAACTGAGATATTTGCCAACTTCGACCCCAATGGTCTATTTTCCGGGGTACACAAGTACTTAAACAGAAAAAAAGACTAACAGTTGCTGGGACGTCATGGATAGAACCTTACGAGCTAGTAAGTAAGCAGGCTCGATAGTGTGTCAGGAGGTGGTGACAATCAGGTTGATTATTTTCTGCTGAATTTGCACATTCAGCTACTATTTATACCGTCTTTGCCACCAGAAGGTAAACTTGGAAACCTGATCACCATCCCGGCACGATGTTTGCAAGTGTGGGCGACTTAGGGGACAAGGTCTGACTAATGTATCGACCCACGTCATAGCCGTAAGTGTGCACACTCGTCACACGTGCTGTCGGACCAGCCAATCACAGCAGGCCTTCCGTTCACTTCGCACTAATTCGCCGTGCTTGTTGTCAGTGTCAGTCTGACGCAGAATTGTAGTGACGAGCGTATTTCCACAAAAACATTGCATCCAGTCGAAGGCATCTGTCTGGCGAAGGCTGTCAGAGGCCGTCAAACTTTTTAAAGTCAAGTAAAACAGTCGTGTGTTGACGTTACATTGGTCATTGGTTGTTTGGATTTTAGGCATATACCAGCAGACCGATATTGTTTGTTTGCGTTTAAGAAGTTAATCTTAGAGAAAACGATTTCTTCCAATGGCCCTTGGGAATGTATTATTTCCCGTAAGTGCGAATGCGGCCAAACACATTTGTGATAGATAAAAGGGGGACGTGAGAGGATTTTTAAATTTAATTTATTTCAATTCCACCTAGTGAAACAAACGCGGCAGTGAAAACGAAGGCAAGCGGTGCAAGTGGCTACAGAGGTTTGTGCCTTCGTCTGTTCTGGAATCGCTCGTATTTGAATAGATCTGTTGTGGGCTTTAGCATGTGGTCTTGAACCACGCCGGGGCCACGGATTTAACCCTGGCCCGATTACGCTTCCCTGATATCCGAGATGAAGAAAAAGACCGGAGAGGACGTGGACACAACCGTTTACTCCAGAGCTCAACCAAAACTGGTGTCTGCGTCGTGTGTGGGGTTTTCGCGTGTATATTTATACCTCATGTGTGTGAGTCATACATGCGCTAACATCGAGACCTGGGTGTGAAGGTAATCCAAGATAAATATTCGTGAGAATGAGGGAGGAGTTGAGGATCCGAGCGGTTGGCGACATGCTGCGAAAAGGGGAACCCTGTGTCGGTGGATGGAGCGACCGGATTAAGGGGTGTGAATAAACACGAGTCACAACAGATCCAGCCCTAAGTAGCAGTTCGATATGAACTGCTGCCCATAGAGTTATGATTTAAGATAGGGTAAAAACCAGCCAAAAACCCTATTTTGGTTTGCAGAAAAGTGGAGCGTTCGCACAAGGAAGTTTGCCAAGCCCTTGAAGAGGAACGCTCGATGGCAGCACAGATGAAGGAGCTCATGGAACGAGGACAAGGCAAACTCAAGACCATGCGTCGTCAGATCGAGGAGTCGGTGAGTCATACTTTCTTCGGCATGCGGCACGGTTGGAAGTTACGCACTACTTCAACCGCCAGTCGGAAATTTGTCAAGAAAATTATTGATTGGGCGCTGAGTCAACGCTTGTGTTCACTTTAAAGTCCTAACTGGGAGGTGAATTAGCCAAATCCACAACGCAATAGCGAATGCCTGTCACAAAGAGTAACTAAACCACGTAGCTGGTAAATGCCACTACATCGTTCCCCACAGACATTCCCTGACAGCTGCAATGTGCTCCAACAAAACTAGCAAACATTCAACTTGCGATACAGACCGGTTTTGTATCTACGGGAGTATCTTCCATGGCGCAAGCATTATACACAAAACATTACTCTTTTGATTGGTCACGATTCGAGTTCTCGTTTGACAAGACTTGCACGCGAATAAAAAATGACGGCAAACGTTCCTGATGCTTGAACGCACGATAACTGCTTACACATTTTACCAATAAATCACCGCCAATAAAAACTTCTAGTTGTGTTTGCTTGTGCAGACGCTGTTGACAATTCAACTTAACTTGGGAAATAGTTCAGCCGACTTTAGCAAGAAGGCACGTAACTGCATTGCCTAATGACAAATGGTGGAGCTCGTTTTGCCAGCATTTGAAATCCCTGGAAATGCATTTTTAGGAAGCAGCAGTTGCGAACGCGAACATGAAGCTACGCAAGGTCCAGGAGCAGCTCGAAGAGGCCGAATTGCGTGCTTCGATGGCAGAGAGACGCATCAGTCTGCAGGCGGAGGCGGCTGCGCGCGACAAGCAGACTGCGTTCAACCCGCGGATGCGTTCAGCCTCCTTCGTTCGCGAAGGCTCCACCTTCAGCGTGACCGAGTACACGCCCCGTCGCTCCCGCCGGACCGCTGCTGCATTCCGCAGCGTCGACAGCGAGGAGCGAGACGTCCTCAACGGAGTCGCCGACTAGACCAGGCCGGACCCAGACACCTCCACGCCAGTCCCTGCCCCCAGCCTCAATAACGCGTCATCACCGTTATCACCTATGCTGAAGCTGCTCAGATCTGATTTGCTCCCCAGGTCTTCTCCCAAATTCCCTTCCATTTTCTTCATTGTATAAGCCTTTGTCCGTCACTTTAAAATTTTCGAAATCACTCCGATTACCCTTCTACCCAGAAGCAGGAGACAGGTGTCTCCCGTGTTGCTTTGATCTATACTCCACTTTCTCTCTACCTAACCACTTGACCGAGCTATGAATATTACAATAATTTAGTAAAGTCATCACCGCTGTTGACCGAGAGTAGGATGATATCGTAAAACAAATAAATTGCGACAGCAGTGGTGCCAACTGTTCTTCTTCCGTACCGCATCGGGATCCAGAAACAAGAGCTCAAGATAACGCTTTTACTTCTTCGTGTTTACATAAATCGGATAAGAGCTGGCTTCCCAAAACAGAACAAGATCTCACTACATTCCCTCTCTTACATATGCCTGGACGATCTGAGATCGATGAGGTGTTAGTGTGGTCTGACTGTAGTTTTAGTCGTGATAACAGAGCTGAGTGAGTAGAAGGAATAAATTTCAGGGATAATGAGATTGTCTATGGGAATTTTGACATCCCCAACACAATGATTGCTTGCTAGTTTCTACGGAGGAGGGGTAGGAAGGACCCGACATCAGAAGTTAAGCACTGTTAGCAACGACCATGTCAGAGGAATCACAAGAAATGGATCTCAACACGTGTATTAGTAATACAATGCAAAACGCAAGAAACCAGGTGTGAGTAATGTACAAGATGAACCCAAAGGTCACTTTGGTACGAGGCCACGAGATTCGGGGAATTGCGCTGCGTCCGAGCGATTATTTGTCGGTTTCAACCTAGTTGAACGAAGAAATATTGTGTCAAACTTCATTTGTCTTCGCCCAACGTAAACACACCAATCAAAATTGGCGGCTCAGTTTGCTTAAACCAATTGCTGTTTACTCTTGCAGTTGGTGAGATGAATTGCCCTTGGATCACACGAGACCAATATGGACGGGCAGTTTGCGCTAGAAATGTGCGCAACGAAGCAAGTTCACGACATCGTCCTACTTCCAGAAACTGTAACGGGTTGTTCGGTTGCAGCACAAGGTTTTTTGACACACGATTCTCTTCAAACATCTCATTTGATTGATTTTTAGAGATTGTGTGACTGGCCCTCAGACTGCAACACCGTTGAACTACCAGGGCGAGATTGGAATCGAAACAAACGTACCTTTTATCCTTCCTCTTCTTGCTGGTTGGTTTGATCTTGAAAACGGAGGGACTAAAAGGTAGAAAAGTGTACTAAAACACACACGCACGTCGGTTCTTGGCGTGTACTTTAACCCCGGCCACGTGCTAACACGCACATCTGGTTGAAGGGACGGGGGTATGTTGTGGCAAGATTTCCGTTACTTTCGCGCTGAACTCGTTCTAGGACTGAACCGCATTAAATCACCCGGCAATTTTAAATCCAAACTCTAACCAATGAAATACATAAATCAAACACCCACTGAGGCACGTAACACGTTCACAAGACCACCGCAAACCAGGACACTGCCTCGTTTCAGGTTGAAATTCGAGGCCTTCTGTAGCAGAGGGAAAAGAACCGATGCAGTAACCTTTTCTCGCGAACTGGTGTCGCATAGTGTCGACTAGCGAGCGGCCTAAGCCCAGAGGAAAAAGTGGGCATGCTGGGTGGGAAACTGCTGCGTCTGACGGTAAAAACGAACCCCGGTGTGATGCTAGTCTTGTCCCCTTTTTGGATGAGGAATGACTGTATTGGATAAAAAATTTATGCAGTCGCTTGCAGTACCTGCGAGCGTGCTAGTTACCACCTAAGATTAAAGAAAAGACCAGACGTGACAAGATTTATTCACCTTCCATGTACCAAATTTTGTCTCACATTTCGCAAGCCAGAGTCAGCAGACAAAAATCAATAATCCCATGTCTGAGCTCAGCTCATCAGCAAGCGGCCCGTGGATTTCGCGGCGTGGCAATCGATCGATAACATGGAGAATCGTGACTGGATTTACTGCCAGAGGTCGAATGCATGCAAAGTGTCCGTGTTCCTGTGATAACGCAAGCTTGGCTGCCAGCCACCCAGTCAGACGACTGGCGTCTAGTTTGTAGAGCGTGCAGTCAGTTAGGGTTCAGTCTCACCCTCAGTTAAACCCCGAATGACACTCGGCAAGCAAATAATTCTTTGGTGATTAGGTTTTACTGTCAAGACGGTTGCTTCTCTATAACTAAATCAGTTTATGATGCAGACCGCCAGAACGTAGACAGATTTATTGGCTCATTGTCTGCTCAAGCCATTGCTGCAACAGCTTGGTAAAAAACCGACCTTCAAAAAATTAGGCTTGGCGGCTTTTTTGTTTAAATTGTTCACTGTTGCTTCTACCTTGCATTATTTGCTTTTCTTGGTTAGGTAGCTTAGCTAACTAGGGATTTGGGTTTATCATTTCGTTGGTGAATTTCGAACCGAACTACATGCAACGAGACAAGATCAGCGTCGCAAGAGTTAACGAAGGTGAAGTCTCAAAAATCCCACCTGCCATCTAATTCCAGATCCTCCTCGTCCTGCAAAGCGGCCTCGAGGGCAGCCACAATCTGGGGGGCCAGTTTGGGGGGCTCGTAGTCCATCGTGGTCCTGTGGGGCAGATCGAGGTCGAGATCAAGGATGTTCTCCCCGCGAAATCTGCAATTCGTGCCCAGCCGCGCCGCCAGACGGGCATAGCGACAGACCGGTCGACGCTGACCCAGGGCTGAACGTGGAAGACAAGGCGTGTGGTTGATCAAGACATCGCCCTCTTCGTCACCCCTATAATCACAGAATCAGTGGCTGACTCAACTTGGAGCTTAACTAAAGTGCCCGTGTAGTTACAATCCATTTCGTTTATGAAGAATACGCAGGAAATTGTGAACGCACACGCATTTGCGTTAGGCGTGGCCCATGAATTAAAGTAGTGGTTTGATCAAAGTGTTCCTGGTTGGTAGCTAATGCAATGTGAACAACGTAAGTCAACACTAATCCGATGTTCTGGATGTGACACTCGACTACATTCAACGCTTTGTCCATAAATCGGTTGAACCGCCGCAACAACTCGCGTTCACCAAGTAAACGAGGTTGCCGATGTGTTTGCAGTGCATTTATCACTCGCTTCTCCTGAAATGATCCCATGATGCGACCTACATGTATCAGAGGCTCGTGGAATGGTGTTCGTGGGTGCAAGAAAACTGCAACCAAAGAGGGACGGTGTTCAGGTAAATGTGGTGGTCAGTAATGCTACAGACCACTGTTGCAGATGGATTGCGATCAAGTATAGCGGCCCACCGACTTTGAAGTTGATTCAGTTTTCCAAAAGGCAAATGTCGCACTCCAACAGCCTCAAAAGTGCAAGTTCAACGCGGAATCCTCAGGCCTAATATAACAGCCTAGACCCACATGGAAACAAAAATGTGCGCTTTTGCGATTCGAAGTCACAGTACGCAATGACGCTTTCGAAACACCTCCGCCATGAAAGAGTCGACTACAAATCAGGTACTACTCATTCCAATGGTTATTGAGGAAGATGTAAGAAGTGTAGCGAATGAAATTCGACGCATTTTTCTTGCGCAACATGCAACCAGCCCGCTTGGACGGCAGTTCACTTCGTAATGCATTGTGCGCGCATTGTCTGCGAGTCAATTTTTTTTTCAAAAATAGAAGCCTTGATTAGGGGAACGTGACTCCGATTTGTCGACGTGCGCAGGCAACTGGCCTTGTCTCCACTGCGTGATTTTGCACAGATCAAACCCGCACACACACCCACACACACACGTGGAGCGAGATCGAAGACGCACGATCCGAATGAACAGGCGTCATTAAATTATCGGTAGGTTTCGCCTAAACGACTATGCTTGGTGATAACGGCGTAGTTTGAAGCGCACACGACGCGGTAATTAAGGCTGGAGGCGTGCAACGAGATGGAAAGGGTAAGTTTGAAGAGAGCGATAGTTGTAACCTCGATAGTTCCACAAAACCAACTGATCGAAGATGAACTTACGACTTGGCTACAAATAACACCCGAACACACTCCCAGCTAGTCACGCTCTACACTATCGGGAAACTGACGGCTCTAAACGCGGACTACAAGGGAATTCCTTTTGCAGACGAGAATACCCTTCCATTTGTGAACCCTTATTTAGGATCAGAAGATTCTGTGTATATTATACGCAGAAACTAAATGGCATGTATTCTCGGGGTAAATGAGTAAACGAACCATGCAGGTACCGTTTCACGCGCACATAACAAGTGGCAGGGAAGAAATTTCGGTTTCCATAAACAGACTGTGTTTTGTTTGCCGTTTTTTTTTAAAAAAGACTGAATTATTCATTTTGACATTTGATAGATGTAATCTGTGGCTTATTTTTGAAGCAAATAATATGCACTTATATTTGCAGGTGTTAGATTAGGGCTAATTTTAACATGAAGCCCAAAATTTGCGCTTTTAATACCCGCAAAGGCAGGAAAACTGCCGCGGTTCACGAATTTGTACGTGACGAGAGCAGTGTTAATTGCGCAACAGAACGCGCGTGTGTTCGGTAAATGTTTCTCTCAAGGCTTACTAGCTTCGTTCTGATCGACCAATCATTGGTGTAATTGAATCGGATCAAGGTCATATCACTGTGTGAGGCAATGAAACGACGCTAAATATCACACACACACACAGTAATGGGTAACAACGTGAAATATCCTTGACTTGAATCTCAGAAGCAATGAACTCGTTCAATTTTGAAACGACGCGCCATTAGAAATTAAATATGCATAGTGCACAATAACATTAATCAAAACTATACCGGTTCAAGAATGATGAATCAACCATGATCACATCGAAAGCTGAATGAATTTCCCAAAAATGACCATGGGATTGTGAGGGGGTCGTGTAATGTGAGTAGCTTACAAGTAACCCGACGATGGGCCAGAATTTGTACCTCAGAAAGGAATCTTGTTCTACCAGAACAATTTAAATTTTCACAGGTGGTAATTGATTTGAGATAGTGTGGGGAAAGTTCTCTTACCCCCCAATGTAAATAGCCCTGATCCTGCACCATTAGATTAACATTTATTTCGAAGTTAATTATCTATACGTAAGGACCGAAATTATTTTCTCGCCAAGGCAACAATTAGGGTAAGTGAATTCGCCATCGCTAGCATTGTGAAGACGGAGTCTGCCAATGAGCAGCTGGTTGACTCGCCATTCGATGAGAACCCGACTACTCCAGCCCACAACGTCTAGACCCTCATCACCTAATTGTGTGGTGGCGAATCCTGCTGTGTCCTCTCGTAGTAATCCCCTTAATGCCCTGTCAAGGTAGTTGCCAGTGTCAAAATCTCAGTGGGTGAATTAACGGCACTTCAGTACGGGAACAATTTTCGCCCAGGCGTCCACTAGGCCAGGTGTTTGGCCAGACAACACGCGTGTCCACGCGCTATTTCAGGCTGAAGGGGGAGGACGCGCAGTGGGGTGAGGGGTGGGACCAGATATCCCCACCGGAAGCTGTCGGAAGAGCGATCTTCCAACGGCCCAGTACCTGCATGAATCATATCTACCAGCTGGTCATTCAGAATGGCACGTAAAACATCCAGTACGTGCCTCCTATGTAATTGGGCCTTCTTTGTTTGAATGGTTTGACGTGTTTGCTAACCGCCATTTCGAATTAATTCACGTTACACTTCCGAACGTACGAGTTGATGCGTACCTATCGCCAATCGATATTTACTGTTCAAGGCGAATTCCGAGCTATTACAATTTACGAAGCAAATATTTTTCATTGCGATTCACATTAGCAGCGAACGATAGTAAACTCGAGCAAGATTAACAAAATCCAATATTTCGAGTTTCCTACCCTCTTTGTGTCAAACGTAACGTCTATTTCTCTTGCAAAAACACACCAACAACTGGAGTTTACTTTTATAACGTAGCGATTTTTATGAAACTGCAATTCTCGGACGAAAAAGGAAGTGCTACTTACAGAATGAATGAAGGTTGGAACGCTGTAATTTCAAATTTATTGGTCGTTCGTCTAACTGCTCGTTGCTTTCTCTCAAACACATTTCAACATTTACGCGAAAATTGAAAGTGGGAAAATCCGAGTTCTCCGACCAAAGCACTTGTTTAAAAACGAATTAAATTGATGCACCCGAATAGCGTTTTCCTTGGAGGTGATTTATCCAATGAGAAGTGTGTGGCTCTCATGATGGGGGACTGGGAAATTTGGATTTATGTTCCACACCATCAAAAAATATGGCGCTCCGTTTGTCATGCACATTGCCAATGAAGCAACACATTTTGGTCTAAATTGGCCACGACTCAGCATTCTCGTGGGATTTTCACAGCACAAGGATTGGTTTGAGGACCTACGAAGAATCTGTTGTGGTCCCCAGCATGCGATCTTGAACCACGCCGGGGCCACGGAATTAACTCTGGCCCGATTACGTTTCCCTGATACCCGCGATGAAGAAAAAGACCGGAGAGGACGTGGACACATCCGTTTACTTCAAAGCTCAACCACGTTGGTGTCGTTGTGTCGTGTGTGGGGTCTGCACGCGGGGAGTTGAGGATTCGCGTGGCTGGCGACATGCTGGGAAAAGGAGAACCCTGTGTCGGAGGTGGAGCGACAGGATTAAGGGGTGTTAATAAACACGATTCACAACAAATCCACCCTTGTGTATCAGGCATTGGACAGTGCCATTAAAGTGTTAATTTTTATTTTAGGACAAGTAAGGGATTTACCATCAACACCAATAGCTAGAGACCTTGATTAGTAAATTAGTGAACTCAGAACGCTCGATGGACGTCGAAACGATGCCCAGAAAGGCGCCGTATAGACAGCTGTTTACTGCTGGCCTTGTCATGGTAATCTGCGAAAACACATTAAGATATCAACAGCAAGTAAGGCGGTTAGAATTAGGCGCCGTGTTTTTGGCCTTTGATTGGGCTAAAACAATTGAATAAAACTGACTGAATTGATTCCAAAAGAGACTCGTTCTTCCCCTTTGGCAGCATCAAAAGCAGGGGGGCTGTTTAGTCATCTTTTTTAAACTTGTAACAACACGTTGTAAACTTGAAAAGAATGAATAGAGTTGGGACATAACCCAATTGCCAGACTGACAAGGGATTGGCACAGGCACGTGGCCCAGTCGTGTAGAACCTGGTCAAATTTCCTCAGTACTCGAAAGTCATTTGTTTAAGCAAAAACTGCATTACATAGGACCAAAATAATCTCGTCAATGGCCTGGACTTGAGTGTCAAAGGCTCGATGTCTTGTAACTTTTCAGTTTTGCCTTCGCAAGCTCCTAGCACTTTCAAACCACCGATGCTCCAAATCATTTATAGTTCACTTTCATTGGCAGGTGCACGAACGGTCAAATTCAAGATTAGACCAGGTTTCAAAAAGGTCACGTCCAGTTAAAAGGTCATTTGCACCCGAGTGATCTTCCCTGGCAGTGGTAGAAACTCAGTTCTCTGGAGGTTGCACCTAACCCTCCACAAGTGTACCTAGTGTTTAAATGTCGAACCGTAGTTCAATGGGCGAGTGCGTAGTCTCCTCTGAATCACTCTCGCAACCCATGGTTTGACCCAAGTTGTCATCGTCTCAAAGCAAACAGTTAGAGATCCTCGGAACCACAAGTAGTAAGGAGAGGTTCCACTGTATTGATTTTGCGGTTCTTCAATGTCCATCTTCGCTTCACTTTTTGTGTAAGGAAATAGTGAACGAAACTCGTGAGTTTTTTTTTAACGGATCGGTTTATCTCTTAACTCAGAATTAATGTGTACACAAACAAACCGAAAAGAAGCGTATTAGAACTATATTTCTTCAAAGAATTCCAAGTGGTGATCGAGGTTTACACTTGGGTGATGCAAACATACGCCACATAATATCAGTGAGAGATTAATTGTAGGGTTGGGATTTCGTCACGTGACCTAGGCAGCGCTAAGCTACTTCTACCGGAGAGCATTCTGCCCGAGTATGAAGCAAGTGCAATTCCGAGCTGCATTTATCGAACTCGTTCCTTCAAGGAAACTGAGGGCTGGGCCTAGTCCTTCGAAAACGCGCCTTTTTGGAATGGTGTGGAAGCCCCGATGTGGTTCTCAAACCTCACCGGGGCTGAGAGATCTACGTCGACACGGACCCCCACGTCGGAAGAAGACCGTAGATAAATGCTGGGCTCAACTGACTTATTGCTGTAGTAAGGGTGGGGTAGCCATGTGTCTTGATGGTGTTAGCCTGTATAGGAACGCTTGACCTCGATCTTTGAACGAATATCACGACGTGAAGTTGACCCAGCACGCCGTGAGCAACGCGGATCCTCTACTCCTCCCCATTAGCGTAAACGATCGTCCTGGATTATCCTCACACCTAGGTCCCGATGATAGCATATTTATGAATTACACATCTGAGATATAAATACACACCCGAGATGCCACCCACGGCACCAACGTGGTTGAGCTCTAAAGTAAACGGTTGTGTCCACGTCCACTCCGATCTTTTTCTTCATCGCGGGTATCAGGGTAGCGTAATCGGGCCAGGGCTAATAAAGTGCCCTTAGCGTGGTTCAAGCCCACATGCTGGGGCCCACAAAAAATTCTTCTCAGCATGCTGATCGCCACATGGTTAAGTGCCACGCGGATCTTCAACTCCCCCCTCATTCGCATGAATACTTATCTTGGATTATCCTCACACCCAGGTCTCGATGTTTACGCATGTATGACTCACACACGCAAAAACCCCACACACGACACGACACCAGTTTTGGTTGAGCTCTGAAGTAAACGGTTGTGTCCCGTCCTCTTCGGTCTTTTTCTTTATCGCGAGTATCAGGGGAGCGTAATCGGGCCAGGGCTAATTCCGTGGCCCTGGCGTGGTTCAAGACCACACGCTGGGGCCTACAACATTTTGCAAATTGGCATTCCATCGGAGGCGTATTTACTATGCGTACGAAGTGACGTTTAGTGTTGCACAAAATATCCCAATAACGTCACCAAATAGGTACTTACATTTAAGCTTTGAGCTGGTTTGTGCTATGACAACACTTTTATATGTGGTGAACCGCACATTTCGGACATTATGTAATGGCTGCCTCTACAGCTCGGAATTCATAAGCCACATTCCTCAATATACAGCACTTCTTGTAGAAATGCGACGCTCTACCAATAAACGGAACTAATTTACTCAAATTACGACAGACCGAACGTGACAAGCAGCCATTTTATCCCCGCAAAAAGCAATTTCCTGCGATTTTTGTTTCGAAAAAAATCCAGTATCTCCACCAGTAATTTGTATTTTGCGTGTTTTCGTGGTTTGAGGTCGCACTGGAAGAAGCGTGCTGAAGGTGCACCTCCGTGCGAAAAGTCGGTGGTTGCGTAAAAACGCTCCCAGTTTGTGGTACAATTTAGCGTCGAAAATCAGCCAAGTGCGCAGAACCAAAGGGATAGGAAGTGTATTTAAGGACACAAGTGGGCCGTTTAGCACTCGCATCACTGCTGCTATGGAACAGAACGAGAGTACGATGGTGTTGCGTTCATGAGTTAGGCGCGTCTTATTAAATTCACATCGAAATCTTGCGAAATCAGGCGGATGTCAAAGTTAGCTTGGAAGTTACTCCAAGAGCTTGTGGCGACCAGCAAGCCAGCACAGTTAGCATTCGTGAGCGAACACTAATCAATCGATTTTCTACCGTGAATGTACTTTAGTGGATGGACAACCACCGCGCGTGAGTGCTGTGTGTACCCTTGCCCGACTGCATCGATGACTCACCCTCTTTGTCATCGGCCCTTGTTAGCAGTCGCCTGTTACGACGCACGCGTATCGATACGCACGCAGAAGTTTGTTACTCGATTTTAAGCTACTCGACTTGACTGTCGTGACGCGAATAAACGGTCGTGTTGTCTTTCGACTCTGTCTTCCCTCCTCACGGGTGGTGACCGGCCGTTAACTATCGGGATTTTGTGGTAGTGCTAATTTAGGTCCCTACAAGCAAATGAATTCGCAGCTACTTCCTAATGTTACAATAGTACATCTTCTCAAAGCGGAAATGTCAAAATTTGGTTTTTGCAATTTAATAAGCCCAAGTCAACGTTTATTTTACTAACTTTATGGTCGAGAAGACTCCGTTTAAGAGAGTAGTATCAACCAGTTTAGGAAAATCAAAAATTCGAATTAACTGAAGGCTAGTATAAACTGTCTTACCTTTCAGTGCCACCTCGGACTGCCTTGAGGTCGGTTTTGTCACCGGAGTTGTCTGTCACGGGACGGAGCCGCCAGCATCCTAACTGTTCGTCGAAGAAGACGCGTTCCTCCAGCTTCTTTCGATCTTCTGGGGGCACAAAGTTCTCAATAATCAAATGACGCAGCTTTAGTTCCCGCGTTAATTGTTCTTGCATGCGTTCGTGATCTTGCCTCTCCAGAATGTGGTCATTCTGGGCATCCTGAATCTCCTGCTTGATGTTCTGTAAACCACGAAAATGTCAAAAAACGCATGTTGCATTAGTTAGCAAAGGTTCAGATTGCATTGCTACTGAATAAGTATAGGTAGAACAGTTAAATAAATTTCAAAAAATAGGTTGTTGAACCATTCGTCCATCAGCGGCGTGATGTCGTGAACCGTCCAGGATGATTCAATGTGGCGAGAAGCGCTCTCATCAGGAAATAACTTCAAAAAAAGGGGTCAAAGACGTTACTAACTTGGATGCGCTCAAAGACTTTTTTCAGTTTCGCCGTGTAGACGTCAACTTCGTGCCGCAGCGAGGAGAACCCCTCCTGTAGGTTGGCCACATTGTCCGTCTCGGCCTCGACACGCGCCCGAATTTTGTGCTCGTGCTTCTGGTGGGCAGCCAACTTGCGTCGATGGTGGGCCAATTCGGCCTCCTGTTCGCGGGTTTTCTCTTCGATGGCTTTTCGTCCGTCACCGCCGAGGATTTTCGACTCGAGGCTTCGCAATTTCTCTTCCATTTTGGCTGTCTGAACTTGTTCTTCCTTGAGGTGCATATCTTTGGTCTAGATAACAGACAGTGGTGTATCAGTGCTCGAATAGAAGGAGGCGTAGGTAATGAAGTTTGTGGTGGAGGTGGGGGTGGAGGCGGCGGTGAAGATGGAGCTAGCGGTGGATGTGGAGGTAGCAGTAAGGGTGGGGTAGCAGTGGAGATGGAGGTAGCGGTGGTGGTGGAGGAGGCGGTGGAGGTGGAGGTAGCAGTAGGGGTGGAGGTAGCGGTGGAGGTGGAGGCAGTGGTGGAGGTGGAGGTAGCGGTGGAAATGGTGGTGGAGCTAGCGGTGGTGGTGGAGGAGGCGATGGAAGTGGAGGTGGCAGTATGTACCGACAAATTTGAACTAAGAACAAAACCGGAGAGATGGACCAAATTTGAAGTAGGAGTTTGGTAGATGAGGTGGATGAAAAACTTGTTACATTCTTTGTGCAATCGTAACATCTCATTAAACGGGTCCTTAAAGGTTAGTGCTTTTTAGGTATCGAATAATTATTCCTAATTTGTATCCTTGACAGCTACCGACTTAAGGGCTGTGATGTTTCCAATCTCACTGACCATGACAAAAAAGGCGTCATGTGGTCAAGCGGACGGAATCAAAGAGAGGGGTAATGAAGACGTAGCTAGGATGCAGAGTGAATAAGAAAGATAACCGCTAGGTCATTTGAAGGGGTCACTGCACCAAAGGAAGGACTGTAGACATAGTTCACGAGGAAGTAGCAGAGACCAAATACCTTCAAGTCTTCAAGAAGGCGTGTCTTCTCTTCGGCAACCATGTTCTTGTCGTTGAGAATTCGTTCCTTTTCAATGGCCAGTTTTTCCAACTGCTGTTTCAGATAGGCGTTTCGGGCGGCTGCCAAGTCCTCACTGGTGTCATCCTCTGCAGCGTCTTAAAGGAGACAACACTCTTTACGTCAGTTGGGTTCCGATTGGTGAAAATGATAACTCAGTTGCCCCATAACAAACTTCCTCAAAGAGATCATCTCCGTAAATACCATCTAAGTTAAGATCAGATCTACGGCGCCACCTACATCGACCTTTTGATCTGATGAAAATTCTAGCGTCTATTCCGAAGTAGAGAGCATAGGAAATCGATACAGAGAGATTGCCAAGCTAGAATCTATTGTTTTGCTGCAAAACTCTTTTTTTGATGTTAAATATCCAACCACCTGATGTCAATCGATGCGAAAGAGACCACGTGATTGGCTGTTTCCTTGATTTGAGCAACGAATCAGGTAGCAGAAGTCGACTCAAACAGCCCTAGCTAAAATGTACCTAGGTGAAGCCACAATATCCCAACTCACCGTTTTCCACTTCAGCGTCCTTCTTCCCATCTTGCACCTCAATTGGGACTTTGTTGCGAGAACTAAGGAGTTGCCTCAGTCGCTCGATTTCCCCTCTGTACTCCCTCAACAGGGCATCCTTGGGATCTTCATTTATTTTCGGCACATTCTTGATATTCTTCGCTCGACTGGCGTATCTCAGTGTGTTTATTGTCTCGTCGTAGTTGTAGGAGGAAGGTCCAATATTGGCGACCATGACGGTCTTCGAGTTCCCCCCAAGGGAATCTATAAAGCGATTGGATGATCAAAACATTTAAATAGAGGTCAATTACGTGGCTGCGAGTTGCATTTTCTGCGAGAGAGTACGCAGTCAACTCATGTCCGGACGAATTTAGGGCATTGGGGCACAAACATTTGCCATATTATTTTAGTCTATCCATCACCAAAGGAACTGTTGTGGTCCCCAGCATGTGGTCTTGAATCACTCCGGGGCCACGGAATTAACCCCGGCCCGATTACGCTTCTCTGATAACCGCGATGAAGAAAAAAACAGGAGAGGACGTGAACACAACCGTTTTCTTCAGAGCTCAACCTCGTTGGTGTCGTTGTGTCGTGTGTGGGGTTTGCGCGTGTGCATTTATACCTCGGATGTGTGAGTCATACATGCGCTAACATCCAGACCTATGTGCGAGGATACTCCAAGATAAATATTCTTGCGAATGAAGGGGGAGTTGAGGATCCACGCGGCTGGCGACATGCTGCTAAAAGGGGAACCCTGTGTGGGAGGTGGAGCGACCGGATTAAGGGGTTAAATAGACACGATTCACAACAGAACCAAGTAAGTAAGGTTTGTCCACATCTCTCAACACAACCAATCGTTTCATGGGGAACTCGTTGGACTTAACCCAGAAGTTAGAGCAGTCACGCTTTTGGCTGGACTTCAATCACTCCCTATACCCTATTCGCGAAATATACTTTTCAGTACATTTGTTTGGCCTAACAATGGATCGTTTGGTCTGACAAAATTCACGAACGATCATCACACCAGGGTAGCCAATGAGATCGCACTGGTTACCTTAGCGATGAAACTTCGACGTACTTTGAAGCAACCGCGTCAACTTTGAGTCCCTGTAAGGCACGTGGGTGCACGTTTCATCCACCAAAGCAGAGATAACATTCCCCAGGGTGGAGAGACTGAGGTTAATCTTGGTGGCCTCCTTGAGGCGTTCACCCTAATGGGGGCAGTGGGGAATACGTTAAGCGATCGACAGCCTTACCTCCGATTGGGTCTTGCTTTGGCGCTCGCTCCCAGCCAAGTCCACCAAGTTAAGCTTTCCGACGCGAATGTGGCTTTTGCCATCACCGTCCACCTGCAAGACGTGCTTGAAGGCGATGACAACACGCGTACCTCGCAGCTTTCGATTGTCACAATGAATATGGCGTGCGAGCGCGAGCTCAACTCGTTCATGTTGGTGGCACTTGAATAAAAACGAAGGGTTAAGAGGGTATGCGTGACAGAGAGAACGGTCATACCCAACGCTTCGATTGCTGTATCCGATGTTTATGACCTTTTCAATCTCCTTAATATTCTTCGTCAATACGGTTGAGAGATCCTAGGGTTAACAAAGAGGTCTCAGTCGCTGCACTTCGATACATGTCACACAAAACTTTTTTTATAGGAGCTTAGAATAACCCTCCTACTACGATGCTACTCCCTAGAGCTAGAACAGCGATAAAAGAAAACTGTCAAGGTGTGAAGATGGTATTCTCACTCAAGAAGGAATCAATTCCACATAGCAAACACAATTGCTAGTACAGTGTAGAATAAAGAGGTAGCATCGCCAAACCACCACACGGTTGCTACAAACTTCGCAAGATCGACTTTCAACTGGCGTGATCATTTCAAAATTCATTGAATTTATGCGAGTGTCCTGCTTTATTGTTGTATGTGCTATCAAAACTCTTAATTAATATGTTTCCAAAGTATTTTGCTAAAACAAAACAATATTTACTACTTTTATGATCTATGGTGGTGAAAAGGATTCTTTTTATTTTTTATCTCTTTTTTTATCTCTTTTGAACTTATCGTACGTATACCTGTCAGTAAAGTGCTGACAACCGGCAGGTAGGCCTCGAACAGAGCATGCGACCAAATTAACTTTTGATTGAAAATTGCGAAAGATAAACCCCTATAGAAGTTCTGAAACCACTTCCTGAATTCGCAAACTTTCTCATTCGTGCATCATTATTATAGCCAGGACCGAAAAGGGTTTTTATTAGTCCTGTCTGCCACAACTCAAACGATTCTAGGAATCATATCAATAGGTGGCGTGATGGGGCTTGGCATTTAATTCAGTTAATAATTATGGCCCGGTGGGGAGTACCAAAACTATGTTGTTAAATAACATTGTCTTCTGAAACATACTTTAACATACACACCTCGATCCGCCTTCTCTTTTATTTCCAGAGATTTTGTTGGGTTTTCCTTGAGTAGATCCCGAACTTCTTCTTTGTATATTTCAAGGTAGCTGACGCGGACGAGGTACTGCGTAGTTTTGGAGTTATTAATATGGTTGAATATGTGTTCAAACGAGTTTGGTATCAATCCACGCAGTTCTGGATCGTCCTTAATGCCTGCTCAGGTTTCTCGGTTAAATGCAAACCAACCCTGAATTGTGAAAGTTTTCCCTGTACCAGTCTGACCATATGCAAATATAGTGCCATTAAATCCAAGAAGAACACTCTGAACAATAACAGAAAACGTCTTTTCGTACAACTGTCTTTGTGTTGAACTAACACGTAAAACCATATCATAATAGACATACAGAGGGCCGTAAACGGAGTCGAATTTAAATATCTTCGAGGACTCAGGAATGCCGTTTTTAATTAAACTAACTTCAACAGATCCACCATCTTCGTCAACGGAAACGCAACTTAAAAGTGTGAGAAACACAGAGATGGAATGCAAACCTATCGTAACCTGCATCGCTTTCTTTTTTATCAATTGGGCGACATCTAACAACTACTTTGATAGACTCATTTTTGCTTTCATTCGGTGCCATATCTTAACCTAGAATAAAAGAAGACTTTGGTTTAACTTAAAGTTAACTTTAAGTGGGTACAGTGATATACAAAACCCACAGCCACAAATAAACTAGCAACCACAACTTTTCAAAAGAGTGGTGTTATTTATTAATATAAACAATGTTAGACTGTGAATGGTGTCATATAATGCTCTTGTAACATAAAATTCAGCAATTACATCACAAGTGTATTTTAACATCCAATTCGATATTTCTCCCAATTAGACAACAAATTACCAATACATACATTGTATGCTGTTTCATAGGTGCCCGAACGCTAATTTCGTATACATTCCAAAATTTTCTTTAGAAGCAAAAATCCAGGCAAATTTTAAAAGAATTCCAACTTCGTTAGCCACCAAATATTACATGGTCTCCTATTTTAGATTTTGAACGAACCATTTTCTGATTAAAGTAACTGTGAATTACACTAACTGATAGAGTTAAATAACCGTAAAAGCCATGTTGTTCCTCCAGCCTTTCATGGCAAACCATAAAAATACAAAAGAGCACTGATAATTTATAATTTCTTTTGAATCATTTTGACCATTTCCGAATTAGAACTTAAAGTAACTCAAGTAATTAAAACCAAAAATTTAGCCTAAGCTTAGCTAGGAACATTTACCTTTTTTCCATAGACTAATTGGCAATCGATTGTGTGTGTTCACAAACCAGAAATAGATGTTTCAGTTGCTATTTTTTATCTGGTAATCTGGAAACTGGCTTATTATTTGAGACCTAGCAACCACTAATTAATTTTACCTCCATGAATTTAGGATTTTGTGGAATAATGTTTTAATTCTGTAATAACAGGAATCATAATGCACAAAAATAATTGTTCAAAAGCTTTTCGGCCACTTTTGAACATAACATATCACCATTCGTGTGTTTTTATTCTGTGCTGCTTCTTGTACAGTTCGCCACTTAAAATAGAATTAACGACAGTGGTAGAAATACTAAGTAGTGTTTATACTTATAATAAGGATAATTTGAAATTTCATTGCAAAAAGTAGTCCCAACGTTATCACAAACCCACCAAGATCTAAGCTTTTTTAATCGTAGGTAAAGTCACTACAAAACAATACTAAATTGAAATGCACCACTATGCTACTCTTCCTTTGTGTATGCCTTGAATGTTCCTATTAAAAACGACTAACTTTATATATTCTGTTACGTTAATGTAAGGATGCCAACTCATACTATCGACCCGGACATTTAAGTAGTATTTTAGGTAACCCTAATCACTTAATTCAGACGAGTAATAATAACATGGAGGACACTTTCGAGTATTAGTGGGATGAGTATGAAAACACAATGTTTCAGTATGAATATCAAAGTTAGTTAATTTTATCTACTTTTAAGAATGAGATTTAATAAATAGCACTGGTTCGAAAATTGTAAGATGTGTGTAATCTTTATCCACAGATTTGTGAAAAAAGTAATAGTTTAAGTTGTCCTTGATTTGGAGCGGGTTATTTGCAAGCATTCCGCTTCTCCGTTGGGTTTTGACGTCGTTATCATAATACTCGTATCACTGCCATGGGGTCAATATTCCGGTCGGAGGAAATGCAACTTTCACAGCTTATTTTGCACACTGATAGTGCTTACATGTGCATTGCTCAATTGGGGGAGCTTGGTGTTGTGCAACTCCGTGATGTATGACCACTTCACCTGTAATTTTCCTAGACCACACCAGATGTGAACGCTTTTCAACGAAAGTTCGTTGATGAAGTTCGTAGATGTGATGAGATGGAGCGCAAATTACGTAATGATTTATTTTACGTATATGATTCTTAGGTTACATTGAGGGCGAACTCATGAAGGACAATTTCATCATTTTTGAACCAGACGAGATTCCTGAAGCTCCGCCTCCGAAGGAGATGCTGGAGCTAGAAACCAATCTAGACAAACTTGAAAACGAACTGCGAGAAGTCAACTTTAGTGTCGAGCAAATGAAAAATTCCTTCATGGAGTTGACAGAATTAAAGATGGTTCTCCGTCGTGCTCAACTATTCTTTGAGGAAGTAGGTTCGAAAAAAACACAGTTTAATCTAGATGTGCGTGGTCTGTAATTGTTTCTCCTTTTTTCAATTTTAGGGTTCTTACGAGGTCAACGTGAATCTTGCTGGCGGTGATGAAGTGCTTGTTGAGGTTCCTGAACACCGAGAACAAAGAGAAGCTCTTTCTGGGTGAGAATCACAGCTGTTGTTTTATTTGTTTTGTTCTCGTGAATGTGTTTAATGCCTGGCGCTACTATGGCCTTGGTCTCCCCGCATGATCCTCTCATTCTCCGCGTTTCCAATTAGCCTCGCCGCTTCCCCACTTTTCATCCCAATGAAAAATTTGTTTTCTTTGTTCTCCCAACTATCTTTTTACCATATATCATTCATGGACCTGCAGTTACATTGAGATGGTTCCTCAACCGGGAGATTTCGACGTTGGTTTCCGTCAAGGCCATGCCACATCTACTACGTACACCAGTCACCATGTTGAGTGAGTTTGTAGGTCTGTGTGTTTCTGTTTGTTGCATTAGTTCTCTGTCTAAATACTGGCCACTAACGTTAGCTTCTTGTCCCCTCTAAATACAGCCACGTAAACACTTCTATTGTGCCTTATCTTTTACGACCCTCTGTGTTACGCTTTGGACCTTAATTATTCTTTTGTCCAATCTGAACCGTACTTGTATAAACGATTTACAGTCCTTATTATTCATCACAGTTTCGTTGCCGGTGTAATCCTTCGAGAGCGAATTGCGCCATTTGAAAGGATGCTGTGGCGTGCATGTCGTGGAAACATTTTTCTGCGTCACACTGATCTCGAAAGTATCGAAGATCCAGCCACGGTGGGTTGCTCTTTTGCTTCACCAACTTCTCGCCTCTATGATTTTGTACGCGGCTAATTTGTTGTTCGTCCCATGTAGGGCGAGCCCTTGGACAAGTGCATGTTCATGGTCTTCTTTCAAGGAGAACAACTTCGATCGCGTGTAGAGAAGATTTGTGACGGGTACGTTTTACAATTTTGATGTTTCAAACAAAAACATCAGCCATATCATTTTCAAAGAATTGCCGAGTGTTTTACCGAGTGCTGCAAAACGGATTATTGTTTGTACCTATCTCTGCTTAGACCAGCGGCTGCAGCTTCTAACCAAGGTCACGTACCACGAGTAACGCTGACTTCACTGCGTGACTATGGTTTAAGCAGGTCATGTTTTGTTAACCGAGTTGTAAACGAGTTTTGTCAGGCAATCCTTTTGCTTGTATCTCATTGGTAGACCTATAAATCACCGCTTTTTAATCATTTATTGCCGCAGAACACGTTTTATAAGTTCATCACAATAACTTCACACAAAATCAGTTGTTTATTGCTCTCTTACGAAATTGGTAATGCTGAAAGCAAACTTCTCAGATTTCGGGTTGAATGGATTTCGGCGTCTAATCATATTGACCCTGGTGTGCAGTTTCCCCACTCTTTCCACAATCAGGACTAAGTTCTCCCCCTGTACGTGTCCAGACTTTGCGTAATTGATGCTTGCCTGTCTTCACCACGACCACACGTATCCATCTTGTCTCAAACGCACCGATGAGGATCAGAAACGGTGGCTTGTCGGGAGCGTGTTCACGTTTATTTGGGTCTCTCTCAACCACTGGTTTTAATGTCCCTCGTCACGTTGTAGTTTCCACGCCACCCTCTACACCTGCCCCGACACGCAGGAGAAGCGTCAAGCGATGCTCCTCGACGTGACTACGCGTCGCGAGGACCTTCAGGTGGTGCTGCACCGCACATCCGAGCACCGGATGCGCGTCCTCGAGACGGCCGCGCACAGCCTGCGCGAGTGGTTCTACAAGGTGCACAAGATGAAGTCCGTGTACCACGCGCTGAACCTCTTCAACCTCGACGTGACCACCAAGTGCATGATCGGGGAGTGCTGGTCCGCCGTCTCCGACCTCGACACCGTCCACATGGCTCTGCGACGCGGCATGGAGCGCTCCAACTCCAGCCTCCAGCCCATCCTCAACCGACTGCACACCACGGAGCAGCCGCCCACTTTCCACCGAGTGAACAAGTTCACCAGTGCCTTCCAGAACATCGTCGATGCGTACGGCGTTGCGAGGTACCGCGAGGTGAATCCCGCGCTCTTCTCCGTCATCACCTTCCCCTTCTTGTTCGCGGTCATGTTTGGCGACGCGGGACACGGATTGATCATGTTCCTCGCCGGCCTCTTCTTGGTTCTTTGGGAAAAGAGACTGATTGTAAGTTTGTTTTTTGGCTAGCCCTCACCCGACTACGAATGGATACGCAGAAATCGCTCCAGCGGTTTACAAAATGTCTTATTTTTTTTTTCATTTAACCTTTGTGAATACTTTTTAAGGTGGCTGGCGTGTTGGCCAAGTAAGTGTCGTTGTCTGCGTGCATTGTCCGAGCTACCAAGCCACATTTAATGGCCGTGAACATTACCACATTATCGCAACAGTCGGGATCACTAAAATGCAAATCCGATCACTGTCGATGAAGCATCGTCGATCAGACATTAGCATTGTTGTGGGCCCCAGCATGTGGTCTTGAACCACGCCGGGGCCACGGAATTAACCCCGGCCCGATTGCGTTTCCCTGCTACTCGCGACGAAGAAAGAGACCGGAGAGGACGTGGACACATCCGTTTACTTCAAAACTCAACCACGTTGGTGTCGTTGTGTCGTGTGTGGGGTTTGCGCGTGTGTATTTACACCAAGATAAATATCCGTGTGAATGAGGGGCGAGTTGAGGATTCGCGTGGCTGGCGACATGCTGCGAAAAGGGGAACCCTGTGTCGGAGGTGGAGCGACAGGATTAAGGGGTGTCAATAAACACGATTCACAACAGCATCTTATTTCATTAGCTTCGTGTTTACCTGCCTTTAATCTCGCAAGCTTCAGGTATTTTCACTCCTGTCTTACTAGTGTGTTTCAATCACTTACCGCCTGTGTTTGTTGTGGTGAAGTCGTTTTGCTGCCTTATTCATACGGAGCATAGTTCAGTTCGAGAAGCCTATGCCGCAGTAATCGGCAGATTATTTTAAACTCTCGGCGTTCCAACGCCATGCAGTTCGACAACTGTTCAGGAATTGACGGTCAATCGTCCCTAGAACCACCTTCCTCTGCCAGCGTGCATACTTGTTGCGTTTCTGTCGATGGATTTGGTTTTTAAACACACGCTGAGGAATTTTTTATTGCCCCTCACCTCAACCGTGTTGTTATGTCATGCCGCCTGCTCACGGCTCCACACTCGCCAATGTTAAATCACAGTTACATCCGCAGCCATTTTGATTGTCACCACAGCAGCGTCACGTGCGAGTGTGGTTCGCGCCCTGGTGAGTCACCCAATCGCGTGAAAACGTCACAAAGAAGGAACTGTGCGTGAAAACCCCAGCAATACTGACGGGTGTGGGCACAGTTCTGCCCTGCTCCAACAAGCCACCAATTCAACTCCTCGATACGACGAGCCGATGAGTTGCAGCAGAAGGTGCGAGACGGCTGATCAGAAACCATTCAATTCCTGCCACCCCTTAAAACACACATGCTAGACTTTTTTGGAATGGGTTTCAGGCCTCGAAGGTGAAGGGTGAGATGTGGGACACGTTCTTCGGTGGTCGCTACATCATCCTGCTGATGGGCGCCTTCTCCATCTACACCGGCATGGTCTACAACGACATCTTCTCCAAGGCCACCAACATCTTCGGCTCCTCGTGGTACCCCCTGTACGACGAGCGCACCCTCGACCGCGGCGAGCCGCTTCAGCTGAACCCCGCGGTCCACTCGGCCACCAACGTCACCGGCATGTTCGCGGGCTTCCCGTATCCCTTCGGCCTGGACCCGGTGTGGCAGTTGTCCCAGAACGCCATCATGCTCACCAACTCCTTCAAGATGAAGATGTCCATCATTATCGGTGTGCTCCATATGCTCTTCGGTATCATCTTGGGTGCTTTCAATTACAAGTACGTTGTGCACTTTGCGCGATTAGAACGTGTGTGTAATTAAACACCTCGTCAGGTCAAACCTCGCGGTTGTTTACGCCACTGAAAGTTACCCTGATCTTCTTTAGCTTAAGCAAAACTCGCTTAATCAGGCACCAGATACACTATGTCTACGTCTGGCAGAGTTATTAATTGTGTTTTTTGAGTTAAGCAGCTAGAAACTGGAGGAAATTAACACCACGTGGTAGATCTACACGTCAAATCTCTTGACATTTTTGTTTGTTAAAACGTTTCTACTATCACGTTTTCAGTAACTTGTATTTTAGAGATTTTATAAACTTCTGGCATGACTTGCGGACCGTCACGTCCTGACGAATCCTCATTGGATGATTATTTAACTCGTTCCCATGGCTGTCTTTGAAAGGTGTGTGCATTGCAACAGCTGCGGTACTTCGTGTAACCTCAAGAAATCGTATCCGCATCACCAAAATGATTCAGTTATTTAAAATGTGAAGGTGTTTAGCTTTAACACACCCGTGTGCTTAATCCATGATCATCCGTTCGTTTTGGCGATTGATACTCAAACGACCTGCAATCGTCACTCGTATCGGCCACGATTCGTGCCATTTCAAATCCGGGCATCGATTTCTGTGCACACTTGGTCAGCCAATCAGATTTACTGTTGGTCGCTTCCAAATAATCAGCCATCGCCGTCTACATTAATGTCATTAGCGATTTGCCTTTACTTGCGGGCCAGGTAAGTGCCACCACAATCGATTTCCCAATTCCCCAAATCGATTTGTTGTTTTTTGAAATCTCAAGCGGTTGAGTTTTGACCTTCGTACACCGAATGGTCGGCTTGCCTGAAGGTCGTCAATGCGCCTTTTTTTCTTACAAACCACTCCACCTACAAAACTCGAACTGCCACAATAAAGACCTGTTGACCTCGGAAACCCCCAAATCGAACCGTGGAAGCGGTGATTCGCGCTAACTTCCAGCCCGTGATCGCACGCCGCGTTGTTTCAGCAAACACGCAATTCCTTTTACCCAGAAATCTGGCTATTTCTCTTTTCAACTACACCCACCGCCACCTCTTTGGCTCTCGTTCAGGTTTTTCAGGAATTCGCTGGCCATTTACTGCGAGCTCATCCCCGAGGTCATCTTCCTGCTCTCCATCTTCGGCTACCTCGTCGCCATCATCTTCTACAAGTGGATCGCTTACGACGCAAACGACGCCCCCACTGCGCCGAGTCTTTTGTTGGGTGAGTTCGCGCGCCCCTCTTCCAGCCCCCTCTCACCCCCCCTACACACCCTCTAGGCGTCATAAATCACTCGACACCCAGCAGGGCTTCCCATGGGATGCTCGTGTGTGACACGTTTGAAGTGTGCGCCGGCTGTTTTGGCCGGGAATTCCAGCATTTTTCCGCGTGTGTGTGTGTGAGCGTGAGAGGTGTGTGCGTGCGTGTGGGTGTGTTTAGTTTAGAATTTCAAATTTCTAGCTAAAGCATTTCATTGCGTGCCTCATCGACCTCTCCCGACTCAGCCCTCTCTGCACTTTTTTGCATTTTAGTTCTCATCAACATGATGAAATTCTCTTACGACAACAAAGATGGTGTTCAGCCCCTCTACAGCGGTCAGGTAAATGGCCATTCATTCATTCCCCCCCCCCCTCCCCTCCCCCCGAGACACGAAACGAGCTGTTTGGGAAAAAAACCTACGGTTTGGTGTTTCAATGTGCGCATTTTATCGATTAACATAACTTGGGCGTTCGGTGGTAACCAAGTAAACTCGCAATCGGGTCAATCCCAACGACGCTGCACTGTGATTGGATGCGCACACCTCGCAACCGACTTTGATCAAATGAAGTCGAACCTCGCGGTGTGCGACAGTCGTTTTGCATCAAATATTAACATTTCAGACATAGCAAATCGACGCCGTTTATCTTCGAGCACAAGTTCTTTTAATCCTCGATGACGTCCTATTCGGCGACTGTCATGAGACGTGGCGTTGGTGTTAATTAGCCAGAGTGCGACGGGAAGCTCTTGGGCCTGTCGTCTAACTTGAGTAACCCTCAGTCCTCACTACACCCCACCCCAAGATCTGTAGTGAATCCTACAGATTGTTTTGATCAATGACCACACTTATTTAGACACCTAGTCGAGCTGTCTAGTACATGGTTTTCTATGTTGTCCCTGGCCGTCTTCTCATCTTCAACACGACGACCTCGGCGTGGTTCAAGAACACAAGACAGGTCCGTGATTGTCGTTGAGTGCCAGCTGAATTGTGGTGGGGTCCACATAACACGAAAACTCAATATTTTCCATGTTTAAAACGATTCACTGCTTGCGATGGAGAGTGCAGCGTCCACATTAGACGTCCACGAAGACGAACCAACAGAAACCACGCGTAAAACCGCTAGACTGTGGCAAAGCTAGAACAGCGATGATTCATTTTCTTGTTGTGAGTGCAAATAACCTTGGAAATCTCCACAAACTAGTCGAAATGATCTTTTCGGCTACTGTCCATTGCAGTACTTGATGGCAAAGCTGCGCTGTTTGTTTGTGCGTCGCCGTAACCAGAGATGGATATATTAACTCTGTCGGTCTCTATTTGAGACGGTCTTGAGATGCCTTGGTGAACTTCGAGGGCAGATTTCGTTGCTTGTAACATGGAGAGATCATCGTTGTTTCTAAAGATGACGTAGTGATCCGGCGAGAGTAGGAACAGGGAAGCTGACGGTTTTGGCTTTTCACTCGACCTCTCCAGCGGATACAGATTCTGAATCAAATTTATTTGTTTCGGTTGCTGGCGGTAGGACCAATTCGGATCATTCTTAAGTACAGTAATCTGTGAACACCAGCATTTATCTTTAAACAGCGCTGACAAAGTTTTAGCTTCTGAACACTCGACAACCCTTTCTTCAAGTTGAAAGAAGTGATCATTGTGAATTTGAACTTAATGTAGTGACTTTCTGCGCGGTGAGGGAAAAGCGAGGCGAAAGCGCTTGACTACTGTGGTGCAGACGTGCACTTTTGCTTAGCGTCTTGCTTGCTCACTCGCACACATTGCGTTAATGGCTACTTCACCAATCCTGGAGCTGGCGATGTCAGCCCGTTCTTCAAGACGAAGTTCGTCTCTTTGCCCCTCTGCATTCTGCTAGCTATTTTGACCCACTTGAACTGCACAATCGCCTCCAGATTTCTGCAAGAATTCAGTTCAGACGAGTAATTGAACTGGGTTAAGACGGCCTCGCTGGCTTGTATGTGTTGGTTCAGCCTGACTAAGCCTTGGATGGTATCGTCGGCTTCTAGTTGAGAAGCGTCAAGCAAGAGTCAAGCAGGAGAAAGGCTGTGGCAACAGCGGAACTTCGGCCAAATCTCCTTTCACGGATTTCCTTTGCAACTTCAAAGCCTGTTGCGTCATCAAAGTAGACACAGTGCTCTGAGTAGTCTCCTTCGCAGAGCTGCAGCGAGTACGTTCTCTGTCTTTTGTTCTACACTCAACAGCCCAATTGACCTGTCTGGAAGAGGCGTGAAATCACTTTTGATTGCCATTTAATTTCTTAATCTCGATCTCTGATAACTTTGCCAGATTATACACGCTGTTTGTTTATGCGTCGCCGTAACCAGAGATGGATGTATTAACTCTGTTTCTATTTGAGACGGTCTTGAGATGCTTTGGAGAACTTCGAGGGCGGGTTTCGTTGCCTGTAACATGGAGAGATCATCTTTGTTCCTAAAAGTGAGGTAGTGATCCGTCGAGAGTAGGAACAGGGAAGCTGATAGTTTTGACTTTTCACTGCCACTTGTGTGGAATTTCATCGGTGTTTAGGGGCGGTCCATCAAGCAATTCGTCGAAAAGGCCATCAAGACCGATTTTTTTATCGAACATGGTGTGGTGCCTTTCCTCCGCCGAACTGCTGCAAGTACGCTAGACGCGTTTTAGTATCGTTTGTGCTACATTAAACAGCGCAATCGAACTGTCAAAGAAATGCATGAAGTGGTCTAGCATCACCATTGGATATCTTAATCTCAATCCTCAGTAACTTGGCAAGTTAATGCACAGCTTCAGCTGACAGTCTTTCGCAAGGTGGCTTTCTTGTTGCACCATTTCGAGTTCAATGCGTTTTTCAGCTTCTAGCAGGCGTAATTTGGGGATCTCCAATTCCAGATGGTGTCGTTCAGTAATTAAGTTCCTCGATAAAAAGACATCGTCGAGGCCATCATCATTCACTTTGTGCTTAACACCAGCACAAGCAGTAGCGGATGTATGCGCTGGAATCGAGGAACAGTCAAGACAAACCGGCAAAGTGTATTTGTGTTGCATTGTTACGAAAATAAAATGAGAAATGTTACGGGGGTGCTGGTCCGATTCCTCCGCCCCTCGGTAATTGTCTCTCTATGTTAATTGTACACCTTGAGGGCGGCACGGTTGGCAAAATGTTGGTGTAATAAATCGATTTCCCCCTCTTGCCTCTCCAAACGGTGGTTTCACGTCCCCACAAGCCTAATTTACTATTCTTCTCCTCCCGACTCTTCGCAGAAGTAAATGCCGCTTTGAGGGGAGCTTGTGAGATCCCACAACTGCCGCCGCCGCTGCTGCGGTTGTTGTCGTTGGCGGCAGCCTTTTCAAGCTCCCTGATCTCTGGCTTTTGAGGTTCTTTGCGTGTTTAGCACGAAGTGAAAACCACTTTGGTTGCTCTGGTTTGAGATTTGCGCCATCGGGGGACAAACACGTGTCGTGGGTTTTCGCGAATTCCGGCAGAGAGCGCTACCGTCGCGTGGCTAGCTCGTCCTGCTGCCGTGCCGTCAGGAATCAAACTCGCCTTCTGGTTGTGCTCCTGGCGAACTTGGATCCTTCAAGGATCTGCTAAATTCGGCCCACGCGCACTGGATGCTCACACACTTTCCCTGTATCTCCTTCACCGATTGCGTGGACTTCAAAGTGTGTCTACAAAGACAACTTTGTGGTTTCGTGGTACTTTTGGGGCCGTTTGCAAAGTCTTCTCTAATTTCCAGAATCCCCACCTTCAGAAGGCATTTACCAATGAAATTTCAACGACGCGTGTGGCCTTGACTCTTCGGCACGCAGCTCCCATTGCCACCAGTACTCATCGATTCTCGTGTTTGTTTGTGCGTGCTAGGATAACTGACCCTTAAACTCAGTTTGGTTAATTTTAACCTTAAGCGAGAGAGAGAGAGAGGGAGAAATGCTGCGTTGACCAATCCCGTACGCCTTGGTATAGGCCATTGGCGGAACAGCATCGAAAATCTGACCGTTACTACAGAATCCTTTTTGCTCACCGCATATCAGAACTTGTTCATTCTCTGTTGTTTTTGTGTGCCTAGATTGTTGTTCAAAGCATCCTGGTGGTACTTGCAGTCCTGTGCGTGCCGTGGCTGCTCTTCGCCAAACCCCTTCTCCTGCGTCGACAAAACCGCATTCGCACCACCGTGAGTTCCGATTGCTCTTTAACCTTGCCACCGCACCACCCTCCTCTGGCGCAATCGGCGCGTTGAGGCAGACTTTGCCACAGCCTGTTTAAAACACACTACTATTATGGTCATACCTTCTATTGGATTTGAAGTGGAAACAGTTTTTGGTTTATCGCACGCTCGTGCAGGCGTCGGTTTATCACGCTTAAAACCGTCTCAGTGGACGCACTTCTCCTTTGTCGGACATAACTGCCAGCCAGTGTCCGGCTCTCGGCAATTTCTGCTTCCTTCACTGGACTGCGCAGAGGGTCATCTCCTAATGACCTCTCGTTTTACGACTGTCCGTCCAAGTACAGCCGTGGTTAATGACGGCCACCTTTTTTCCCATAATTGCTGCATATCCCAAAGCAACCCTGTAAAAATTTGCACTCGCGGGCACGTTTAGGGCTGGGAACAGAGGCGGCGACTCAACCGTTTGCTCGTTGTGTGAAAAGTAGGCGCGAGTCGACCAGCCTGGGGGCAAGCCTGTTCGAATAGTCTCACACGCGCCCACCCCACTTCTTTTGCAGATCAACGCTATTCGCGCAGCGGGTGAAAACGGTCTGAGTGGTCCCCAGGCAGGCGGTTCCGGTGACTACGTGCCTTTCCGCAACGAGTCGTCTTCAAACCACACCGCCAACTCGTCCCACCACGTCGATGGTGATGGTGGTGGTGGTGGTGGCCACGGCGATTCTGGGAAGGTAAAAGGCGTTTCCTTATGTGTTGTTTGCACCACACAGACTACTCAGACGTAGTACCAATCGAAAGTACTTGGAGGTTGCCCACCAGGCGCCTATTGGCCAGCAAATCGGCACTACTACCGGTTGTCTCAGTTCTGTTTCCTTTCGCGTAACAGATTGCCTCGAGATGCTTAGCGTAAACCACGTTCCACGTCCCCTGGTTTTTTTCATGAATGATTGCTGGTTGTTGACTAAGCTAGTGGAGGGGCCTAGTAACCGTCACCGTCTTGATGACGAAGACGCGACAAGCGCGTGACCGTTCCTTTGTGCCTTTTTGCAGTTCGATTTCGGCGAGGTGTTGACCTACCAGGCGATTCACACCATCGAGTTCTGCCTCGGATGCATCTCCAACACCGCCTCCTACCTCCGGTTGTGGGCTCTCAGTCTAGCGCATGCTCGTGCGTTCTTGTCCCCTTTTGTTTACTTAAGTAGTATCTTCATCTTGTGGCTTTTTGTCTGTATGGTTGGACCGTGGCGCTCGAATGTCGTTCTAGAACGAATCAATCAAGGTCCATGTTTACCGTGATTCCTGAAGATTAAGGCGTAAACCGATCAGCGAAAAGTTTGACTCACTGACTGGACTGTGTGCCAAATCTCTTGGTTATATTCACATTCTCACACCTACCTCTCTCACGGGTAATGTTAGAGCTGATTCGAGTGGATCATGACGATGGTAATGCAATCCTTGGTGGTAAGCTTTGTACCCAACACTTCCAAGCTGTTTCTGACGTTTGCGATAGTGCCAGTCTATTCGAATCCGTGCCCAGCCTCTTAACAACCCAGTGTCATATTCAGTTTTAGCCTGGAACGTCTTTGACAGCATCGGCGACTGGCGCACTGTTAACTGCCGCAGCCGGCGCTCACAAGTTATCCATCATTTACGAGCTCATGAACCGCTAAATTTCTTGGAGTATGATCGTCCACTAGATTAGATTGCCCAATTCAATTGCGCTTTGTTCGTGTGCGTATACGAGGTCGTGAAATTAGACGTGCCCATCTGACCAATGAGGATGGACTGACCCCCTTCAACAGGATGTGCACCTGGGTCGCTTATATAATATTTTACATCGTCAATTTGATCACTTGTGTCTGGGGTTGAGGTGCGGCTTCGTGCTGTGCCCGTCGAATTGTTCGTCTCCACTTCGTAGCCATTCACTGACAAATTGCCCCTCTTCTGCACCCCTCTAGAACTCTCCGAAGTGCTCTGGGAGATGGTGATGGTGAAGGGTCTCAAGGTGGACGGCTACTACGGCTGCATCATCCTCTTCTTCGTGTTCGCCGCCTGGGCTGTACTCACTGTCGGTGTGTTGGTCCTGATGGAAGGCCTCTCCGCCTTCCTCCACGCTCTTCGTCTTCACTGGTGCGTCCACAAGCTCCTCCTTATTCTCACTTTTTTGGCCAACGACTAATCTGCAGTATCTAGTTGAGGCAGGAAAGGGGCAGCAAATTTTGCCTACTGCATCGTGCTCATTCGCACCAAACTTTACCACCATGGCCTAATACTAAGGAGGCGAATTCTCCCTCCAACGAAGTTGAAACGAATCAATGTTCATTTGTAACCAGATAGCTGGTTACAGATCGAACACTCGAAGGGGATCTCAACCAATAAGGTGGGGATTTGGGAAAAAGAGCCAGTGGAGAAAAAGGGGTAGCAGTGGAAAGTGCTAATTTGTTAAGTGCACGCGAAGTGCCACATCTACGCGACCAGAGCCCCTGTCAGCCCAATTTGGCACGCTGTGTGCACTTCTTTGGAGGGGGTAGGGAGGATTTGTAACTGTCATGGCGAATCTCGTATGTGCGAAATTCCTGCGAACTTGTCATGCGCCAACCAGTTGGTGAAGCAGATCAATCAACGCATCCCCCGCACTGAAAGCGTTGTCAAAACAAGATAACAGTAAACTCGCAATATAGATCAAATTTCGTGTGCGAAAACCTCGCGTTGATAGGTCCCGAATGCCCTCCCAGTGCCGATGAGGTTGAGGAAGGAGATTTAATTGGAAACGCGGTCTAGACCACTCCATATTTCAAGGTCGCTCAGTCATTTTGACTAAATTGTCCGACGTAAATCCACCTGCGCGTGGTTTACTGAGACAAAGACCGCTGCAACACTTTCCCAACTTCACTGCGTCCTCGGGACAACGATCATTTCCTTCCAACCCCTCTACGACCCGTCCATATGGTTCCAGGTCGGTTCGGTTGAAGGTCCAGACATGTGGGCTCAGAGTATTGAGGAAACATTAGAACCAAGGGCGGCAAAGACAACCATTCACAAGACAATTCAAGCTAGTTGTGTTAATTACGCTACCGCGCTTTAATAAATCGCATCTGACCTATTGGGGGTTGTTGACCCATCCATTCTGAGTGGACCTGTAAAAGTACAAATAGCCGAATGGTCAGGTGAATGAAATGGGGAGGCGCACGCACACCGTTTTATGATCAGGTGGGTTGGTATGTGCGATATCGACGCCATGAAAAGGGGTTAGTGTGGCGGTGAATGCGGCAACCGAGTTAATTGACGTGAATCAGCACGACTCACTGCAGTTTGTCCTGCTGTTCGTGTCGTTTGCAATCCTAGAAGCTGCAAAGAACTCCCTTCTTATTCGCTGTAGCCGTTCCTTGTTGCAGGCATGCTGACTTCTATCCTGTTTCCTTTGTAGGGTGGAGTTTCAGAACAAGTTTTACGAGGGTTCTGGATACCTCTTCGAGCCCTTCTCCTTTGTTCACATCGACAAGCTCTCCGCAGAGTGATCTCTGCCTCCGGTTAACCCGTCCCAAGATCTAATTACTGCGTATTTTCTTCACGAATGTTGAACCCGTCCGGTCTAATGCTCATTTTTTCCACTTTTGTCTCACCCTTCCCCAATCTATCTCCCTCCTCCTCCTCCTCCCTCAATCTGTGCATTCATTTGTTTCAATTAACTTGACTCTACGCTCAAAGTCACATTCAGCTGTTGGAGCTTGCTTGTTTTTACTCATGAAACGGCATACGAGGGAAACGCCTGAGAAACAACGCAATGCCTCCAACTTATTTGCACGATTCTCTTGCACATTTGGGGGGAATTGTGGCTTGGAGGTTGGTTGTCTGTGCGCCAACAAATTTTGCCGGATTCTTTGTGGTGTGGGTGTTGTAGCACATGGGGCAGCCTACCGGTGTCGATCAAGCACGTGTGGGATAACTCTTGGCACCTAGTATGGGCCTGTGGTCTCTTGAGCCGGGGAGGTTCGAGTCTTACTTTGAGGCCTCAGCAAGCGGGAACACTATCTCCTGAGGGGACGTTCCCTTGATGTCGCCGAGTTTGTACCCGGGGCTAGTGTTCGTTGGGATTGCGCATCACCACCAACGGTTGTTCTGTATCACCTCGATGGGGCGGGTTGGCAGCTGTGGAAATTGACCACAAGTTAGCCGACAACGCTTGCACAATGTAACGATTCTCCGCACACGCGTGAAGACTCAAACTCGCCGAGTAGTTGTTAGATTGGCGGCTTTTCCTCTGAGACAACCAATCGGCTTGGTTAGCGGCTTCATTCGGATGGCAAACAACACAGCTGGCGTCCCCAGGCAAAAACCAAACAACATGATGAAAGGCAATAAACAAGACATTGCCTCATGTGTTCCATGATTTCAAGGCACTGGTTCACCTCTGTGGCGTGTTGCACCTTTTATGGGAGGTCCAGAATCTCCGGGAGGTAGGCGTTGCACCGCTGCAGAGTTGGTCCGGTCTGCACTCCTCTCTGGCGATGCAAGGGTTCCCGTCGATACATGCAGATAGTTTTGTCCCTCCCCATATTTCGTGTTACTACACACATAAATGATCCTGAATTTCTTCGGTTAAGTTTTACCACCCATAAATATTCGCGACCAAACACCATCACCGACAGCGATGCTTGGCTGTCCAGTAAACGATAGAGATTCAGGTTCTCCTGGGGGCTACTGTGTATTTTAAATCTCTCTGTAGCCATAAATTCGAGGTCTTGTATAGATGGGTGTTAAATACAAAGATCGGAGGAGAAAATAGCGTGTTTAGCAGCATGCAACACGGAAGACCAATCCGAGAGTGCGCTCCACGTAGAGCTATCCACCGCACGTAGTTTAGTTACTTTTAAACCCCCGCAGTTAGTTGCCTATGCGTGGCGGCTTGCATCAAAACGTCCGCCTACCTTTGATTTTAAGAAAAGCGTTTTTGAGGGCCCGGCACTGTTGACTCAAACCACGCCGATTACGCTAACCTGAAACCTGTGAAGGTAAAGAAGAGGCGCAGACGTGCATATCTAATACAGTTCAGGTGAACTAGTTAACGGATAAAGAGCGTAGTGGTGGTATTTGCGCAGGGGTGAATGAGCTAACGGTCCCACACAACTGACGGGAGAAAGCGGCAACAGAGCCGATGAACGTGAATCTATGCTATTCACTACACATTCATTTCCATGGACAGCTTGTCTGTTTCAACGAAAGAAACGCCAAACAGGTAGCATTTCTCGTGGGAGTTTTGATTGAAACACTTCGTCTGACACAATTTCCATCTTATAGAAGGTCAACTTGAGAAGCCACATTGATGAGGCTCTGGAAACTTTTACGCCGTTCTGAATGAAGTAGCGGCGACTAGCCAACTTCAAAGCAGCTAGAAGGTATCAACTAGGCCAGGTCTGAAACGGGACTTGAAAATGATTGGCTAGAATTTAAGTCCTTTCGTTGCACACGTCCTCACATCAACGTAATCTTTGTTTGTAACTGGTATTTCTAACTACCTGTCAATCCACAGTCGTCTTGAGAAATCTCCATGACCTCGGCAAATTGCGGAAGACTTTCAAGAAAGAAAGTCACCCTTACGTTCGATACATCGACTTTTACACGGTGTTTCAAAGCGTAGGATTTTGTATAACGGCTTAGCACCACAATGCCATCAGACACTGCTCCATAGAACAACCATAGCCTGTGGCTTGATAAAGCTTTGTCCCAGCTCTCGTCTGCGATCTCTCTCTCGGCTTTATCAACCGCAGCCAAGCTTCTGAAATTGATAGCGTCTTTCATAAACTATTCCAACTTCGAAATTAACAAGATTGCTAAAGCTCACTGGTAATGCCGAATGACATAGAGGAACCACGCGTGTCCAACGTCTCCCACAACAAAGCCTTCTAGTTAAGGTTTTATTGTTAATTTGGTTGCTTGTAGTCAATTCCTCCGATGATTCTCCAAATGCTTCTGCGAAATTCAAACCGCATCAAGTTAACGCTGACTTCTTGTAGACTGGCTACAGCAAACGAAACACATATCAATGTCTGCAATTTTGGTTAACAAATTACAAGTTTCTTCAGTTCCCGATAAGTTTTCGGGCCTCACAATTCCCTTTGTCTGAAGTGGAAATTCAATGTTTTGCGATTTGATGACGCATTCATTCTCGGATGGCATATTTCCTGAGCGAAGTTCGTTTGAATTATCGTTCAATTTGACGACCACTGCACGGGCCCTGGAGATCGATTGCTCTTAACCTCAAAACGTCCGCCGAACGGAACTGCACTATCTTTACGATACGACCTTGAGCCGTGCAAACGATTGGCCCCATTGTGTGACGGCAAGGAATTACGGCGATTGAAGTGGCATCAGCTGGCGCAGTAGCCTCGGATTCACATTGTCAGGCCTTTAGTTCATGTTGCTACAGCAGTGGCTTAATGAGTGGAGCAATAAAGAGGGTGCACTTTTAGTGACGTCACACAATCCGAGGTCGCTGGATGCTGGCCCGATAAGTCGCTTTATGGTGGTCGTTCCTACCCCGGCTATAAAACTGGCCATTTAGCGACAAAAAACGAATCTATTTGGCTCCTGGCCTGAAGAGAATAACCGGCGCAATTAAACTTGTGAAAGAATTTAAAATATGAAACGTGTAAAGCGTTATTAGTTCACATTGGGAGTGGCCTAGAACGCAAAACACATAGCAGGTAGCCATGGAATGAACCACTTTTGGCTCGATCAATGACAATTGGTTCCCTTAAAAAAAGACTATGGGATTCTGCATGTAAGATGCGAACGCCCACTCGCAACCAAATTTGTGGAATAAAACCCTGTGGCTGGCCCCGGCGCGGTTTTGGATGGTAAGATGCGACTGGTATTTGTCAGGTCGACCTGATAGGATTACGATATGGTTAGAAATGATCAGTCGTTAAATTAGGAAGTTTTACACAACACTCACAAGGCTAGTACAGGTGCACTTGCGTTGTGTGAGCCACAGTTTGACTAAATGTAATGCGCCTAGCGGGCCGGGGCCTAAATAGGGGGATGACTGTTAGCCCATCCCTCTTAGATAGCCACACCATCATGGCTAGCTACCAGCCACACGATAGAAGAATAACTGGAAGAACCGGATGTATTCCATACTACCACAAACAAATTCAGATGGCCAGAGCTTAGGGAGAGTTAGAGCTGGAGGAGGAAACCGCCGACAACCACAAGAAAAATAAAATTTCTACCTCTGGTAAATTGAGGGGACTTAGATAGACAGCAAGAGTGAGATTTCGTTGAACAATCGTGGAGAAATTGGAAGAACACTGCTGGTGTTTTATGGAAGGGTAGGAAGATCACTTCAAGGCATGCAAGGGAAGTTAGCTTGCTGTCTCCTGTTTGGTCCAATTTTCCGCCTTTATATTATGTGAATGAATTTCAATTTAAAATTTTACGTTATGTTTGGATTTCATAATGATGCACAAATAGCTAAGCACAATAAAACTTGAATAAGTGATTGTGTCAACCTCGACTTGCAAACTCTTACCTGTCCTCTTTGTACTTTTACTCCATTATTTTGTCATTCCTTTATTACTTTAGTGATGTTTAACTCAAGAATAACTACTATCAGACGACGTCGCTTCAAGGTAGCTGATAATCGACCCACGGACGATTAGAATATCTAAGGAATTTATTAAAAATTAACGACTAGAGGTGTTGTCCATAAAAATCTGTGGTTATGTGACCTGGAAAGTAGACATCCACTAAAGTCCGCGGAACATAAAAAACGCGTTTGCTCAAGATGGCGATCGATTGCCACGCCAAAAATCTACTTGTCTTGGTGATTGATAAATAAACGATTGTCATAGGTCACGAGCTGGTTTCAAACGACTGGTTATTTAGTGCTCATTAATTCTGATTGGCTAACAATGAGAGGCTTGTGAGCCAGATGATAGTCGAGAGTTTATTAAATCAGGCTTCCGAAACTGGCTTGGTCAACCGCTTTTTTCACGTCTATTTCCTCCGCCGAACTCGTTGATCACCACGCACGTCATATCGCCTTACCCACGCTCTCGCGATAAATCGACAGCTTAATTCACGTCTTATATCACCCGAACTCAACTGATTCAGTGACCACCAACAAACATTGGCCCCCCCTACGCACGTCTGCTATTTATAGGTGGTCGCAATCTTGCTCGAACAACACAATACGGTTGCGCTACACCATAAACGGTCGAATCCCCTTGTCAAATGATATCACCGGCTCGCCTTCGTCCAATAAGATGCCAAATTCGTCGAGAAAGTACATGCTCCCCGATATCTGAGTGCGCTCTGGACAATCTTCAGATCCACTGTTAGGAGACGAAATCTCCGGTGAGGTTTGACAGCAAGCAGAATTTGAGCGGCTAAAATCGGGAACGTGTTACCAAAACAGCGTAGTTTAATTCCAAGTGATGCAAGGTGCAACCACTAAGCTTAGAATTGGTTGAAAATGCAAGTGGAAATTTCCCGTTTCAAGCGTCATTTTCATTGG